CACACACACACACACACACACATATATATATACAAAATATATTAGATACTTTAAGACTTTTACTCAAGTAATATTCTTAGAGGAGACTTGAACTTTTACCAAAGTAATTTTATGGTAAGATACTTGTACTTTTACTCAAGTATCACTTTGAGGTACTGCAACACTGGTGTCACTTGTGCACATCAAAAAAGTTTCTAATTTATTTAAACAAGTTGCAAATGCTTTGGTACGACCATTCAAATGATTGTGTACCATTTTCTGATGATTCCTTCATTTTCAGTTGCTTTTTTCAAGTTGATCAAAATAAGTTTTTGTGTGTCTGTTTAATAATCTCACCACATTTTGGCAGTAGTTCATCGCTTAAGTCTTTACATGCAAAATGGTTGAACGTGTTCTCATAATATGTCAAATTTCTATATACCTCCATTAGACATTTTTCTGAATTGGTGAATGCTCGTTTTCATTCATACAGATATGTCAAAAKTATTCAGTCATTAATCAGATAAAAGCTCTTCACACTGCAATGAGCCACCTGGAACAGCAGCACAGCTACATGTGAATGCTCTTTGTGGATTACAGCTCTGCTTTCAATACTATCATCCCAGACATTYTGATRACCAAACTCAAGAGTCTTGGCCTCCCCCCACTCACTTGCACCTGGATAAAAGACTTTCTCATCAACCGGCCCCGGGCTGTGAGACTTGGCCCCCACCTCTCCTCCACCCAGACGCTGAGCAYTGGCTCCCCACAGGGCTGCGTGCTGAGCCCCCTGCTGTACTGTCTCTACACCCACGACCGCAGCCCGACACACAACAACAACCTCATCGTCAAGTTTGCTGATGACACCACAGTGGTTGGACTCATATCCGAGGGAAACGAGGCAGCTTACAGACAGGAGATCCTGGAGCTGAAATCCTGGTGTTCAAGGAATAAACTGAACCTAAACACCAAAAAAAAAAAAACCAAGGAGGTCATTGTTGACTTCAGGAAAGTCGGCAGCAATCTGGCCCCCCTCTACATCAATGGTGAGTGTGTAGAGAGGGTCCATACTTTCTGGTTTCTGGGCGTCCATATCACCACCACCAACCTCACCTGGACTGAGAATATCACAGCGGTCATCAAGAAGGCTATCTATAACTTCTACAGATCATCAATAGAGAGCCTGCTAACATACTGTATCACAGTATGGTACAGAAGCTGCACCCTGGCGAACAAGGAGAGGCTCCAGAGAATAGTTAAGACCGCTCAGAAGATCATTGGCTGCCCTCTCCCCTCCATCGCGGACATTTCACGCTGCCTCAATAGAGCTGAGCAGATCGCCAAGGACAGCTCCCACTCAGGCTCCGGACTGTTTGACTTGTTGCCCTCAGGAAAGYGCTACAGGTGCATCAGAACAAGAACAGATTCAAGAACAGCTTTTTCCCGAAAGCCATCACCTTACTGAACTCTCRCATACACTGACTCTTGATTCATAATCAGCGAGGAACTCACCTACTGTGAAATAAATACATCTGTGGGACACATGTCACTTTATTTTGTAATGATCACCTGCAATACCAGCATAATCCATATACCTCAATATACAAAATGTGCAATATTTAAACAATGTGCAATAATGTCGTTTAACTTTCTTCTAATTTAGTTTTACATTTACAGTACAACCAACACTCATTGTGCTTTTTAATGTGC